CCTCTTCCCAATATGCGTTTTTGCAATTTACATATATGCAAAAACGCATAAAAAATATGCAAATTTTTTGGCGGGAAAGCGATCAGACAAAGTGAGGGACTGAAACTTTACTGGGGTATTTCCTGTGCATGTGTGAGCTAAAGATTTTAAATTTAGGCTCCAAGTACGCCTGGTTCTCACGTAAGGGCACATGAAATATTTGACAGGAAAATTGCTAAGTCGGTAATAAGAAAAGCTGGGAGGCTGAAATTTCAGGGCGCGGTTTTCTGTTCACGTGCAATTTAAAGATTTCAAATTCAGCTTTCCAAGTACCTGAGGTACTTACATATGGGCATATGAAAGTTTTGGCAGAAAAATTACTAAGGAAGCAGAAAAAAGAACTCAGGAACTGGAAAAGCTAGAAAACTGAAATTTTAGAGGAGATGTTTTCTTTTCAAATACAACTTAAATTTCCCAAATTTAGCCTTCTGCATGGTTTTCACGTATAGGCACTTAAAAGTTTTGGCGGGGAATTACTCACTGAACAACCAGGTTACTTTCAAAGAACGACCTTTAGATGGAAATTATTTATTTACTTTATGCAAAATTTGTAGTAATTTACGCTACTGAGCGGAAAAGGCAGTTGTAAAGCGGCAACCATTCATGCAGTTAATGACCAGAGTTTCTCAAGTCTGGTGCAAAAACGCATGATCGTATCTGCAAGCCTGATGCGTTTTTATCTGGGTATTATCTGTGTTTCATGCGAAAGCTTTATTATTTAAAACCCAGTCTGGAACGCATCGGACGGTCCCGCGCGATCATATGTTTTTGAACCGGATTTGAAGTACTCTGGTCATTAACTGCGTGAATGGTTGTCGCATTACAGCTACCTTTTGCGCTCAATAGCGTAAATCACTACAAATTTTGCATAAAGTAAATAAATAATTTTCACTTAACGGTCGTTCTTTGAAAGTAACCTGGCTGTTCAATGAGCAATTTCCCGCCAAAACTTCTAAATGCCTATACGTGCGAACCATGCAGAAGGCTAAATTTGGAAAATTTTAGTTGTATTTGAACAGGGAACACCCCCTGAAATTTCAGCTTTCTAGCTTTTCTGGTTGCCGGGCAAATAATTTTCCCACCAAAACCTTCACATGCCTGTACGTAAGTACCACAAGTACTTAGAAAGCTGAATTTGAATCTTTAAATTGCACGTGGACAGGGAATATCCGCCTAAAATTTCAACCTTCTAGCTCTTCTGGTTGTCGAGTCAGTAATTTTCCTGCAGAAACTTTCATATGCCTTTACGCGAGTACTATGCATAGCTTGGGGCTGAATTTGAAATTTGAACTGCACTTCGATAGGGAACACTGCTCCAAAATTTCAGCCTTCTAGCTTCCCTGGTACCCGAGTTAGCAATTTTCCCTCTAAAAATTTCATACGCCCTTACGTGAGTACCACGTACACCTGAGAGCTGAATTTGAAATCTTTAGCTACTACATACACAGGGAATATTCGTACAG